AGAAACAAACACTGCCCAAAATAGCAGACGGTCATCTTGGGGTCCTTAGGGGTCTTTACAGGCCATCATAATATCCTTGGCAGGCCTGTAGTCGGGGTTGGGAGGGGTGTTAAGGGTTCAACTCCCCTCCTCAATGTGTCAGGTTAAAAAAATCCTTGGTTTACTCATGATTGGAGGGAGCCCCCAGTGGGTTAAACTGCTGAGCTACTGAGCTTGTTGACCAAAAGGTTGCAGGTTCGAATCCAGGGAGCGGCATGAGCTTCCGCTGTCAGCCCCAGCTTCTGTTAACCTAGCAGTTCGAAAACATGCAAATGTGAGTAGATCAATAGGTACCACTCTGGCGGGAAGGTAATGGCGCTCCATGTAGTCATGCCGGCCACATGTCCTTGGAGGTGTCTACGGACAACGCCAGCTCTTTGGCTTAGAAATGGAGATGAGTACCACACCCCAGGATCAGACACGACTGGACTTAATGTCAGGGGAAAACCTTTACCTTTTTACTCATGATTGATTAGCCAGTTAAAATTAATTAATTAATTGAGTAAACCAGTTTTTTTAACATGACACATTGGGGTGGGGTGAATCCTTAATCCCCCGCCCCCTGGTTACGGGCCTCTTTGAGGGTCACATTTTGCCAATTCTTGCTACAGTGGATATACCTGCAAATAGATCATATAATATGAGATTATGTGCGATGCAGAATTGGGGACTGGGATAAAATAACTTCCATAATATTTATTGAAATACTGGCATTTTCCCTTCAAAGAGAAAGTTAGAGGGACTACTCCTCACCCTCATGACATTGCAGAAAACTGGATAGGACAAAATTTGCAGGAAAAAAAGAGAATGAGAAAAGTGCTTCCCCCTTCTGGTGCTGAGGTGTTTTTGCCCTGCCTAGGTTGCCTGGCCAGCATATCTCCTTTATTTCTCACCTGAGATGAAGGATCTGAGATGAGAAGATGTTGTCGTTGGATTTGTTGTCAAGGTGATTTCAACTTGGTTTCCAAGACTCTTGGTCATCAAAGGCTCATTCCTGCAAACTCAGAGCCAGCATTTCCTTGACTGAATAATTCTACTAATAATGCAATCTTACTCTTCTCCAAGTGCGTTCTGTTATCATGTTTTTCAGCATGACATTCCTTGTAAAATATTACAAGGTGGAAAAATAATTTTCACCTGAAAATCAGGAGATTCACAGTTATTAAAAAGACATTTCCTATCACTTCTCCCATGCAATTGGTCACTATTAACATCACATCAACCAATATATTTAAATAGAATTTATCCCGAAACATTTCCACCTCTGTTTCTATTTATTCTGATCTTTATTCTCACAGCTGTGCTACTGCCAGTGTTATGGTTTAATATTTGACTATCTGCAGCCTTTCTCAAAAGCAATCATATACCTATTGATTAGTTTTGGTGAATGCATGAATGAATTAGAACCGTTTCATTATCTTGAATGATGTTGCTCTTATTATTATTATTATTATTATTATTATTATTATTATTATTGCTACTGTTATTTTTATATATTTGAGACAATCTTATGATTGATTTAGAGGACCGAAAAAACACACAAAAAGCAGATAACAGACATGGGAAGCTTCAGTAAGAAAATTCTAAGTGACTACTTAATCTGGCCTCAAACGCTTGACGGCACACTGCCTGATTTCATTCTGCATTCACTCTGTCATCTTGCAGGCTGCTCAGAGCATTTGCTATGCAGTACCATGCAAGTGGCTGCATATTTATTCCAGGCACTGAAAGCCGCATCTTGAAAAGACAAGCGAGAATCTGACTGTCTAATGCAGACAGCTTCCAAATTGGAAGTGAGCTTGTTAGAACGTAGGGTCCGTTGGCTTTTTATCTCTGTCGCCTCAGCCACAGTAACTAGTAAATGGGGGTGAGCTTTCTAATATTTCTATAAAGAAAGAAAGAACCAGACATAAAGAACAAAAATCGCATTCATGAATAGAAGAAGGCATATCAGAAGAATATTTTTAAAAAGTTTATGTGGTTATTTTTTCACATACTATTCATAACTCTATATGAACTTCCCATTTTTGTTTCCCTAATACAGTAGAACGTCTACTTAAGAGCATCCCAACTTAAGAGCTGTCTCTCTGTGTGTACCTGCCCAGGCCCTTAGATCCTCAGGAGATGCCCCTCTCTCACTTCCACCAACTTCACAATAGCTTTCTCAATGGTTGCCCCTGGACTTTGTAATTCTTTTTCAAAGGAACTCAGAATTGCCCACTCGCTGCCGTCCTTCCACCAGCAGACCTTTTTTTTATTTCAACCAACTTTTTCATTCAGAAAGGTCAAATGGTGCAAATATATTTTTACATTATATTTAACAGCTGTTCTTCAGGTTGTATATTTTTAATATTCTTCCACAGCTTTACTCTAATTTTGGATATTATGATTTTGGATATTAAAGCCTTTTGGCATGGCTATGAAGTGGGGTGGAGGGGGAGAGGAAAGGGACTGCTGTCCCATGTTTCCGGGCCACCTGAACCTGGGGAATGCAGCTTGGCAGTTAGGAGAGTGTAGCAGCCCTTGGGCTGATTTATATCAGATGTGCTCTTAGATCTGGGGTCCTCAAACTAAGGCCCAGCGGCCGAATACGTCCCTCCAAGGTCATTTACCCAGGCCTCACTCAGGGTCAATCTATGTATGAAACGAGCAAGCTTGTTTTCTGCTTCCCTGGAGACTAGGACGCGAAACAATGGCTTCAAACTACAAAAAAGGAGATTACATTTGAACATGAAGAAGAACTTCCTGACTGTGAGAGCCGTTCAGCAGTGGAACTCTCTGCCCCGGAGTGTGGTGGAGGCTCCTTCTTTGGAAGCTTTTAAACAGAGGTTGGATGGCCATCTGTCAGGGGTGATTTGAATGCAATATTCCTGCTTCTTGGCAGGGGGTTGGACTGGATGGCCCATGAGGTCTCTTCCAACTCTTTGATTCTATGATTCTATGACTTCAAATCAAATCATTTATTTCGGTCATTGACCAGCACAGGAAATAGTCACATTTTCACACAAACTTGGTATGTTTGGTACATTAAAAATATAAATATAACTACTGAAGCACAATATGGGTGAGGGAGCAGAAGGGAAGGGGAAACAGGGTAAAAACATACAATGCCCAGATCCATCACCAAATTGTAGATTCAGAGAAGAAGATTACTGGACACACAGTTAACTTTTGGGACTAGTCATTCCCTGACGGATTTTGTATGCTGCTGCCCAGAACTTTGCAACATTGTAGGTTGTAGCTGAATTAATACCTGCAAGTAGCATGGAGGTATAAAATTGTCCTGAATGGCCTGGGTGCTTGTATAACAGAGGTAAGATAAGCCTGGCACAGATATCCCTGTAGAATGGGCACTGGAGGAGCACATGTTCTATTGTTTCTACATGACCTGAGTCACAGGGGCAGAGTCTCTCTGGGAAAGGGATCTTCCAGTGGCGGCCTTCGAGTACAGCTGGTGGGAGAGCGTGGCATCGAGCCAGGGTGAAAGCCCTTCGATGAATGGGAACCTCTAAGTTAGTTAAATATGCCATAGGGGAGGCAAGATATCTGCTGTCTTCATTGATAAGGAAGGTTGGAACTGAAGCCAGATCTAGTTGTTGCTCTGTGTCTGTGATACGTTGTTTAATAAGTGCTTTGGCTTGATTGTAATCCATAGTGAGTAGTAGACCCGGAGACTTGAAAACACATAACAACAACAATCCTTTCTCATCAGTCAAAAGCAGGCCCACACTTCCCACTGAAATACTATAAGTTTATATTTGTTAAAATTGTTCTTCATTTTAATTGTTGTATTGTTTTAAAGGGGGTTTTTTTGCACTACAAATAAGATATGTGCACTTTGCATAGGAATTCATGATTTTTTTCAAATTGTAATCCAGCCCTCCAACAGTTTGAAGGACTGTGGCCTCGTCCTCTGTTTTAAAAGTTTGAGGATCCCTATCTTAGATCAATAGTGGAATGTCCCTAGAGATATTTTGTTACATTACAGTTCCCAGCATTCCCCACCATAGCCTGTGCAGGTTAGAGATAGTAGGACTTGCAGTCTAAAGCCCCATTTACACTGGCCATATTGTCCAGTTTTTGAATGTGGATTATCTGCTTTGAACTGGATTATATGAGTCTACACTGCCATATAATCCGGTTTAAAGCAGATAATCTGCATTCAGAAACTGGGTGATATGGCAGTGTAGATGAGGTCCAAGAGCATCCAAATAGCTACATCAGGGCTTTCTAAATCATGTGTCGTGACACATTAGTGTGTTGACTTCAGTTTTTAGATGTGTTGCATGAACATAACGAGAAATGACAAAAATCCTGGAAATGTATGTTATTATCTTACAAATCATATGTTTTTAAAAATACATAAATTAAAAGTTTTCATAAGATACGCTGTGTCTCCATACATTTTGTTATTACAATTTGCGCATGTACCTGTATCTTTTGTAGGGACTGGTTAACATCTGGTTTGCTAGTAAAACTGAATTACTGTGTCGCAAAATGATGTATGTTTTCACAGTTTGTCACCAATATGAAATGTTTGGAAAGCTCTTGGTTACATAATTCTCACATGTCAGTTATTGGGTGACATTCACATTTTCCTTTCTGTGCAATTCTCGGAGCCTTGCACATTTATAATTGCACTTACATTATATAATTATCTTGAATGTCAAAGGGTTTGTATAAAATCACCAGATGTGCATATTGAATATAAATTTTAAAAATTATACATTTCTATCATCAGTTCTGCTTTTTCTCAAGACACTTAATGAGATCTTTGAATCAAACAGTGGCAATTAATATTTTGCAGGCAGCATAAAGCATGAAACATTCATTGCTAAGTACTTTTCCTGTTTTTAAAATAAAGTTTTGAGGGAAATTAGACTATTAATTTCTCCAGTAATGTCCAATCTAATAAAGAAAAATAAAATTTGCTAATTGAAATTTCTCATTTGTCTTTCCAGCTCTCGTAAATGTGAAACTCTGGGCTATTGATCGGCAATGTTTTCAAACAATAATGATGAGGACTGGCCTCATCAAGCATACAGAGTATATGGAATTTTTAAAAAGGTATGGCTTTCACACTCCTCACTTGTTATTTTATTTCACTATTCAGTGAGCACTACTTTTGCTGCAGCAACATTTTTGGGTTTTGCATGGTTTGTTTTAAGCAATGCAAAATAATCAGTGCTTATTTCTACTCATTACTTTCAATTTTCTGTTTCACTACATGCGTGCTGTAAATAAGAAAACCAATAACTGAAGATCTTATTACTGTTTGTTTTTTCACACTGAAATTATTCATCTGTGGCTGCTTGTTTGCTTGGAACAATAACACCGTCAATAAACATGTAAACTACCTTTTATATGACTCAATCAAATATCTCATTTGAATACAAAATGTTAATGTAAATATTGACAAAATGTTAAGGTAAAATAATGAAATGGTATATAGTCCAATGTGCAAGCTTAACATATTTCTTTGCATATCATCCAGAATTATAAAGCTTAAATGAAACAAAAGCTCTTTGCTTCAGGCATCTATCAAATATGGGTCAAATGAGTCAGAGAAGAGAATCCTAGTGATATGCTTTTTTAAATCCCTTACACTTGAATTTAAACTCTGGAAATGCATTCAAGTATTTCTGTCTTGCCAAAACATCACAAAACTGTCAAGATAAGGAGGCACTTAATTCCAGAATTATTTATTTTGAGCTATATATTTAAATATTAATTATACTTAATTAAATATAGTCAAGAGTTCAAAAGTATGTGGTCCTTTTTTTGGGGGGGGGGAGGATACTGTAGGGAGACTGTAAGTAACCAACAACTCACTCACGTTGCCCAGGCAACTGTATTTTTATTAGCCTTCAATCCTATGCCTAGAAAATACCATATATTTCATTCCAGGATTTATTTTTTTTACTGCGTGTCAGTCTTACCCAAACAATATGCTTGTTAACCAGAACCAATGTGGTATATTGATTTGCACATTGGGTACAACTCTGGAGGTCAGAGTTTTAATCCCCACACCGCCATGACATCCACATGTGACTTTGGGCAAGTCACACTCTTTCAGCCTCAGAAAAATACAGTGGCAAACCTGTTCTGAACAAACCTTGCCAAGAAAACCCTGTAGTAGGCTTGCATTCCAAAATTTACTATTTTAATTGCTTTGGCTAATTTGGAATTGTCAATGAAATTAAATTATATACTTGAGGCTTGATCCCATGCAAAGTTAGGAATGCAAGCTCATTGGAATTAAACTGGGTAGGCCTAGGTCTACATCAGTGGTTCTCAACCTGGGATCTCCAGATGTTTTTGGCCGTCAACTCCCAGAAATCCTAACAGCTGGTAAACTGGCTGGGATTTTTGGGAGTTGTAGGCCAAAAACATCTGGGGACCCCAGGTTGAGGACCACTGGTCTACATGGACGCAGAGAATTAGCTACTGTAATGTGCTAAATTCTTAGGTACCAGGGATTTCATTTCTCATGAATTTCCTTCTTGAAGGAAGGAACAATTACATTCGGAAATTTTCTTCCTCCTCAAGAAAGTCTTTGAAAACTGTACCTTCACATTTAGGAGTATCTTGTGTAATTCAAATTACATTACAGTTCTAGGTGGTAATATAACAGAATATGAAAAAAATTGAGGGAGAATGGATACTTCAGCAAGGGTTGGATATAAACTTAAATCTATTTAGAACAGACCCAATAAAGTTAAGTCCTATTGATTCTTGAGTCAAATTTAAACCTAACTAACTCCAGATTCAGTCCACTGTCTCTCCAAAGGCATGTTCAGATTCCCTGTTGTTAGAAATATTTGTATTTTTGCTCAGAATGACCGAACTCGAGGCTTCTTAAACCTTTTCTACTCGTAATAGCTTTTTACCCAATAACTTTTTACATGAACCTGGGAATTAGGTATATAAAATACATACCTATTTTATGAAACATGTACTGATAATAAAGCATAAAAATTATTTTAAAGCAATTTTTGGTAGACATATAATTTTACCATTTGTTAACAATAATGCCAGTTTGCATATACATGAGATGGATGTTCTTGTTTATTTCTACATAAAGAATTAAATCTTGGGTGAATATTTTATCCTGCAGGACATAAAATCATAGAATCATAGAGTTGGAAGAGGCCTGGTGGGCCATCCAGTCCAACCCCTTGCCAAGAAGCAGGAAAATCGCATTCAAATCACCCCCAACAGATGGCCATCCAGCCTCTGTTTAAAAGCCTCCAAAAAAGGAGACTCCACCACATTCCGGGACAGAGAGTTCCATTGCTGAACAGCTCTTACCCTTCGGAAGTTCTTCCTAATGTTCAGGTGGAATCTCATTTCCTGTAGTTTGAAGCCATTGCTCTGCATCCAAGTCCCCAGGGTAGCTGAAAACAAGCTTGCTCCCCTCTCCCTATGACTTCCCCTGACATATTTATACATGGCCTTCTCTTCTTCAGGATAAACATGCCCAGATCTTTAAGCCACTCCTCATAGGACTTGTTCTCCAGACCCTTGATCATTTTAGTCGCCCTCCTCTGGATGCATTCCAACTTGTCAACATCTCCCTTCAACTGTGGTGCCCAGAATTAAACATTGTATTCCAGGTGAGATCTCACCAAGGCAGAATAGAGGGGTAGCATTACTTCCCTGGATCCAGACACTATACTCCTATTTATGCAGGCCAAAATACCATTGCCATTTTTAGCTGCCGCATGACATAGTTGGCTCATGTTTTAACTTGTTGTCCACAAGGACGCCAAGACCTTTTTCACACATACTGCTGTCGAGCCAAGCATTGTCTCTCATCTGTATCTGTGTAGAAGATTATCAAGATTTTTTGTGCCATTCTGCCACACTTGGTTTGTAGTCTCTAGTAGCAGAATATACTCTGCTGGCTCTCATTTTTAACTCCTGAAATAGCCACTAGGTGGCAAGCTGCACACATTTTCATGACTCCCAGATTCAGTTAGGGGACCCCAAATGGGGTCATTACCCATTGTTTAACAAACTTTAAACTAAATAACAGCCCATTTTTACAAACCACTTTAAATAATGAAAGCTAAAGCATAATGGTGCTTTGCCCTGTGTCAATGATTTTCAGTCTTTAGTCCTCAGGATGTTTTGTGCTTCAACTTCAAGAATCCCTTACTGTTGGTCATACAGACTGAGTTTCTGGAAGCTGAAGTCCAAAAATATCTGAAAGACCAGAGGTTTAGAAACACTGGCCTGTATGTATAGAATGATCATCAGAAGTCCACCTACAGTATAGAGAAGACTTTATTAAGAGTTATATATTTAGAAGAGGAAACAATCAGTAGCATTGAGTGGATTGTTTGAATGTTTTGGGATCAGTCAGCCTGTCCCATTCCTCCTCCTGTGTGTGTGCATGGTTAGCCAAACCAAAGAAAAAAGTCACCCATTCTGTGCAGGGATATTTTTTTTTACAAATTACAGAAAACATAACCAAACCTTCCTCCCCATGTTTGTACTCAGCTTTGTTCTACTTACAAGGCTTGAGAAAGCCTCAATAGGCTGCCTTGATTCATTGAGATGGTCTATCTCATAGAATCATAGAGTTGGAAGAGACCTCATGGACCATCCAGTCCAACCCCCTGCCAAGAAGCAGGAAAATTGCATTCAAAGCGCTCCCAACAGATGGCCATCCAGCCTCTGTTTAAAAGCTTCCAAAGAAGGAGCCTCCACCACACTCTGGGGCAGAGAGTTCCACTGCTGAACAGCTCTCACAGTCAGGAAGTTCTTCCTAATGTTCAGATGGAATCTCCTTTCTTGTAGTTTGAAGCCATTGTTCCACATCCTAGTCTCCAGGGAAGCAGACAACAAGCTTGCTCCCTCCTCCCTATGACTTCCTCACGTATTTATACATGGATATCATGTCTCCTCTCAGCCTTCTCTTCCTCAGGCTAAACATGTCCAGCTCTTTAAGCCTCTCCTCATAGGGCTTGTTCTCCAGACCCTTGATCTCTACCTCAAACATGCCAGTTGGAAGTTTTTTTTTCACCTTCCCATTTAAAGCTCTTGCTCAGTGTAAGCATTATAGCTATATTCTCAATTCGCTTCTGACACGATAAAAAAAAACCCGCAGTCCAAGCACAGCTTCTATAATAAATCTATCACAGCAGGCTGTCTTTCACAAGTCTAACCTATGACATTATAAATAATAGAGAATAACAGAAGCTTGTGACTGTAGTAGATGTATTTTTCAGTGTGACAGAAAACAAACAGGCGAACTTTAACATAAGGATGTGGACTTTGGTCCAGCCAGTTACGTTGCTGAATTTCACCAACTTGCTCTTGAACCCCAAAGCAAAGCAAAATGACAAGTGATTTACCAAGCTGTGAAAACTGAAGAAAGTACAACCATGCACTCATACTAGGGCGGTACATGCCGTTAAGTTTTTTGTTCTGAACTACTGACCTGAACTTCAGGCTAATTTGTTTTTCCCTTAAGTGCTGTTTTGAGAATTCTGAATGGGATGTTTTAATAAAAGATGTTTGCATTGCTTTCTCATTAGCACAGCCAGCTTTTTTCAGGGATTACAAACTGAATAACTCATGACAAGAGCTGGGTGTGAGATTTACAGTGTTGGAGGCACCAGCACTTTTGACATAGAAAGCTAAAGGCCTTGTAAAACAACAACACCCATGATTCTATGGCACAGAAAAAGGGGGGATCATACTGTATAGAATCATAGAGTTGGAAGGGACCTCTTGGGCCATCCAGTCCAACTCCCTGCCAAGAAGCAGGAAAATTGCATTCAAAGCACCCCCGACAGATAGCCATCCAGCCTCTGTTTAAAAGCTTCCGAAGAAGGAACCACTACCACGCTCCGGGGCAGAGAGTTCCACTGCTGAACAGCTCCCACAGTCAGAAGTTCTTCCTAATGTTCAGATGGAATCTCCTTTCTTGTAGTTTGAAGCCATTGCTCTGCATCCTAGTCTCCAGGGCAGCAGAAAACAAGTTTGCTCCCTCTTTTCTATGACTTACTCTCACCTAGTTATACATGGCGATCATGTCTCCTCTCAGCCTTCTCTTC